GTCGTTGTTGTGAACGAAGAGCTTGGCACGTCATCTATCTCAATCGGATTTTTTTTCTTCATTTTAGTTTCATAGCCGATTCTAGGAATACTGTATTTTTATGGTTTTGTATAAATTTTTGTACGGTGTGTTGGATTCGACTCGGTCTTAAATGTCTAGACTTATCCCGGTAATCCATCTTCAACCCGTGAATGTATACAAATTCTTACTTACAATTTAATAAATCTTACAGATCTTCACTGAAATACCTTCGGAAATTTGTTGGAAGATTTTTCCATCATTGAAATACAGTTTCAAGAAAATTAACGCTTTGAGGACAATGCGGATTGACACATAGCGGGCTCATGGACCATGCCTCTTTTCGGCGCCCTCAACTCTCGCGCAAAATTAGCGGACCAGTTGTCGCTTGTAGGCAGTTTTCCCCATGAGAGATTTTTGAATTTAGCAGCATACGCAAATAATAGCTGGCAGTTTTCAAGCTGTCAAGTCATAGCCATCAATGATACAATACATCGTTAGAAAAAGAATTGGAAACCCAGAAGGGAAACTCGGATTTTGAAGGAAAGGAAGGCAAAAATTCCAAAAGGAAATGTGTCGAGAAGAATTTTCGATGCACCTCAAACTCCTTTCCGCACCTGAGGTGAGGGCTATGAAAGGGCGAAGTTTTGATTGGTAATTTATCTGAGCCTGATAATGAAGAAGCTCAATAATTATGTTGCGCGCGTTATATGCTACATTCCAAAATTTTATACAAATTAGCTATCAATAAACATTCCTACTAGCCGTGCTATGTATATTTTATTACGAAGCTTGCTTATGATAAATTAAGGTAGTATAAGTGCTCTAAATGGACGTGCGTGACAGAGTGCCCCGTCCATCCGGTGGGCTGGCCTATTTGTCAAAAGGGTTGATAGGCGGCGGTCGGCGATCAGATCCCCCTAAAATTTTCCCCCTGAGTGAGTGGCAAGACCCCTAATCACAGAGATAGCAGCACTGTCGCGACTTCGGAGCGCATGCTTTCGCTACCGCGAGGCTCTTGCAAGCGGCTGCCCATTTTTATATCCGCAGCATACCCTCCCCTTCAAAAAGCGAGAAAGTGTCGGGTGCAGACCATGCACCACAAGTGACGACGGCCTTCACAAAATGTTAATGTTTTCTGCCAATGAAATGATTAGCCTGTTGCAGTTGTTCTATCGATTGTAAACTTGTATTCTAATTATTGTCACTAATTGAACTATCATTTACCAGAAATCAGCTATCACTATGAACAACTTCTAACCAGATTTACTTGGAGGCCGTCGTCAGTTGTGGTGTTTGGTCTGCACCCGACACTTTCTCGCTTTTTGAAGGGGAGGTTACTGAGTCCTCGCTCGCTCTCGTACGACGTTCTCTTGTGTTTTTAATCTCCTTGCGCCACTGTTTCTCTCCGTCGTACCGCGGTCGATCACACAAGGAAAATTTCAGGGTTTTATGATGCTATTAGCTTTTTCGCCAATGACTCTTCCACTTTGAAACTCTTGCCTAGTTTCCGAACAAAACAAATAAGAGATTTCTTAATAGCAACAATTCATTTCACAATTTGCTACCGCATGAAATTTCAGATGACAGTCAGTATCCAGAATCTAATAGTTGAATCAATAAGGGTATCCCGAAGGACCACCATTTTTGGGTGAGTCAGTCGACTTGCAACCCGTAAACATAAAATTTTGACAAAATGCACGGAAAGTACAATCATTTACAACATAGACAAAAGGAACTTAGAGCGAATTGCTACAGGGGGGGGGGACAAAAGGCGCTCACAGGGCTCTCGCGGGACACATAAATATTTGAATTTCCAAGTTCGCTCATCTTGAAACCTCGGCATTTTCGTTGTTATTGTAATTGTGGGTTGAACTTCTGCTTCGAGGTTGTTAAAAGCCATGTGTAGACCTCTGAAAACGACGGCCGCTTACCCAGTCTTCATGGTTAAAGGGATCCTCCACGGAAAAAGCTCGCCGCCCTCATTACCAGAAAACGATACCTTAAAGGAATCTTCCACGGAAAGAGTGATCATTTTGTCTTGTGTGTAGGATTAGTATTATCGAAACTAACACTTATGTTCCGTTCTTTTTGCTATGCTCATGAGGCTAGGGGCCTAAGGGGTATCGTTTTTCTGTGGTAATGGAGGCGGAGCTTTTTCCGCGGAAGATTCCTTTAAAACTGCGAGGCGAGGAACAGCGTATAATGTATGCAGCAACTTGAGTCTTCTCTTGTTCTTAGCGCTCCTATCGGAGTAAACTTCGTAAGACAGTGATTCCTTCTCCACGGGAGAAACTCGGGAACTTTGAGCTAGACCTTCCTTTGATGACAGAATAGGAGTTTGTTTGGCCCATTCACCGGGGAAAAGTCGTTCTTCCCGTTGAAAAACCCTCAAATAATAGATTCCGAGAAGAACTTGACGAAGGTGGTCGCTTTCTTTCGGGATACTGCGCCTCGTTTCATAATGGAATGTTCTATGCCCTAATGATAGAAATAATTCGACAACGACAGATACGGCTGAAATGATGGAACAAACTGGTTCCCTGCAGCATAGCACGTGCAATTCCAACCGAAGAAAAAACCTATTATAAAACCTATTGTTATCAAACATTCAAAGAATGAACCAGAGGAAAGTCAAGAGATTGGCAATAAAAACACCGGAAATTATTGAAATTAGGTGAGATGAAAATAGTCGCATCAAAGAATGATATACACAATGAAGTGACACAAACAACAAAAATTCCAGAACTTCAAACCCGTTTATCGTCACTGGTAAGATGGTGTTATAATGGCATTAAGAGGAGGAGAAAGCAAAAGAATATTTGAGCGTTAGCGTTTTCCTTCTAAATAAATGACTTTAGGAGGATATGAGTGTTCCAAACAGATTATTTGGAATTTTGAGGCAGCAAATAGAAGAGGACCGATGCACAAGCGATGAAGGCACTGAACGAGCCGAGCAGGATCACCTGAAAAGTTGGAGTTTACGGTGAACGAGTTCGTATTTTGAGATGCAATTCAATTTACAGGGTTTCTTCCTTCGTTGAGAAGCTCTACCCCCGGAACTCGAAGCTACAACAATTCGTTCGAAGGCGGTCATCCCATACAAAACTACCCCCATCGGTCGTCTCTGTCGCCAGCGTCGCTCAGCTTCCTCTCCTCCAAAATCCTTCCAAAGCCGTTGTTGAGCAATGATGAAGGAGTGCGGAGGATGCGGGGAGGGGGTAAGGAAAGTAGGAAGCATTAGATGGAGCACTCCGGTCCATTTGAGCAATTTTGCACATTCTATGTGAATGTATTAGGTTGTCTCATAAATAGTGTCGCTTTTTTTCAACCAAAAAATTTTCATCTAAATCCCCATGCTTTTACATCGAGTCATATACCATTCGAAAGAGAATTGTCTGCTCTACAAGAATATGTGTTCTTCTTCCATCTATGTTCCATGGTTTTCAAATTTTAGGCCTGCGAAATGGGAGGTCCCGCCGACAAAAATTGACCAAACCGACAACTAGCTCTAACTTTATCTTCCCTTCGGAGAAATCAATCAATGACTGTACCCTCTACTTATGCATGACCTTCTAAACATTACACTATTAGGTTTCCCAACAAGTCGCGTCATTCCATTTCCAGACCTGGTTTTTCAACCAGAACTCGACGGTCAAGCACCATTACCTGAGATCGAGGTCGAAATTTTTTTATAGCCGAGACATTGAAAAACTAGTAGAATTTAAGAACAAGTCATGACTAAGTTAGGAATGTACGCCTGGTTGATTTTCTCATCTTCTCAGGGATAATTTTTTTCAAAGAAATGCGGTCACTTTCGTGGATAAAGCACCTTATTCCTAAACACCTAAAATTCGAACTAATTCCCAACAAACATAAAACAAAACAAATGAGCGAATAGAGCAGAAGAAGTGCTCACAAAAGGAACACCAGTTGATATGAAACAATGGCGTTTCACGAGGAAGAATTTCAATTTGAAAATTGCCATGGCTTATCGGTCGGCCAATTCGAAAAGAAACAGGGCAAACCTTTTTCGGCAACCTAAGGGTGGAATGTTCAGAAGATCACCTCTTCTGAACATTCCACCCTTAGGTTGCTGAAATCAATGACGTATCCTCTACCTTCTGTGTAAGTAGAGGATACATCATTGATTGATTTCTCCCAAGGGAAAATAAAGTTAGAGCTAGTTGTCGGTTTGGTCAATTTTTGTCGGCTGGACCTCCCATTTCGCAGGCCTAAAATTTGAAAACCTGGAACAGAGGTGGAAGAGGAACATAGCATCTTGTAGAGCAGACAATTCTCTTTCGAATGGTATATGACACGATGTAAAAGCATGGGGATTTAGATGAAAATTTTTTGGTTGAAAAAAAGCGACACTATTTATGAGACAACCTAATATTTAGGGCCCCATGAAAACATCCCAAATACGAGTCCCAATTTAAAAATTACAAATGCGAGTCTCCCATTAGGAAAATCTCAACAGGAGGTGGATGTGGGTGCCCTTTTCTCTCCTCAAATGTGTCACCCATTCCACTTCCATTACGAATCTAATCAGTACTGATATTGGACTGAATACATCACCGAAGCAATACCTTGGGGGGGGGGGGAAGCGGTAGACAGAACCCTCTACCCAAATCAAGCATGTAAGCAGTTTAGATCAATTTTCTAGCAATTAAGCAGTACCATGGAAATGGGAGGCTTAGTTGCCTGGTAAAATCTGGGGGAAAATTCGATCTAACTCAAAGCAGGAGTCGCACTTTCGATGGCCCGACATACCCTGCTCTTTCCGCCATCCGTACTCGTGAGCGATCATAGTCAGTAAAGACGTTAGACCAGAAGTCAAAAATTGATGGGAAACTGAATAGAAGTTTTTTTTCTCGAAAGTTTCTTTGAAACGCTACCTTGAACGTTTCTCGAAAACTCCCCTAACCAGTTTTTCTATCGTATGTCGCCATCTAATGAATAGAACGCCTCTGCGAGGGTTATCAGAAAACCACAATGTTTTGAATGAATATAACCGCTGCTATCAATAAACCAGTTTTTAGGCTGGTGGATGGAATTCATGAAAACGGTTACTGTAAAACTTCTATGCTTACCCATCCCTGTATCGCAAAACAACAATCGGTGTTGTGCGTGCCACAGCAGTTGTACTGATGGAATGCTGAGGCCTCGCGACATTGTGTGTGCCTGAAAAATGTTGTCTTGATAGGCAAGCAGCATGGCGCTGGAATAAAAGTTTAGTTTGGCCGAGTTTCGTACCAGCTTTGTCTATGCGTTGGAAATTTAAACTATCACCTTGCTGGACAACTCTACACCCTGGCTCAAGCAGGCCTGGAGAGATCAGAAGTACTTGCCATCAGGGTCAACCGTCACGTTGGACAAATTTCAAAGATTTCACGACCCCCTTCTCTTCTATGGGGCTTCGATACGGATCCCTTCCCCCCAGCTGTTCCTATAAGTATTTGATTCTGAGACCAGTTTACACACCCAACTCCATCCACATTTCCTCCAAAATAGCCGTCGATTCGGAGGGGGCGGGGGAGGGGAGTTAGCACTCACAAAGCGTTAAAGCGTCACACTAGCGACGCCCGGTTATTGTAAGGTTGACGCTGCCTCCGACCTTGCGAATACGACCCTCCCTTTTCGTCGGCCAAATACGACCCCCTTAGTTGGACTTTGTCCAACGGGCGTTGGCCTCTGCTTGCCATTCTCGTCTAACGCTCGACGCTGAAGAGTGAGCAGCGGTCTATTCCTCTCACCCATAAGACGGGATCTGGTATTCGGGTCAGTCGTCGAATTTCTCCCTTACATCATCCAGATCGACTTAATTTTTCAAGCAGAATATAATGGAGAAAATTGAAGGAACAGTTTTTGGTGAGGCCGCCCCCTCCAATATGGATCGGGACAAGCGGAGTGATGGACACAGTGGTTTTGCATTTCCATTTCTCAGCCTGGGGTACCTTGTTTTTTTTTTTTTCTCGTACAGGGGTCTTCTAAAGAGTTGCATAGTCTTCTGTGTTTTGATGACTTCTGGTTAGTTGGCCAGGTTGTAATCAGCCTCTGAAATGAGAACTCTATCCTTGCCCTGCTTAATACTCGCAATCTTAAGTCCTCTAGCGCTTCAATGAACGGAAAAGCTCGAGACGGGAATCGTACAGAGGGCACTCGACGGCTACTTTCACCCCAGCTCGTGCCATTTTGATGAAGATTGAGGGAGATGTAGGGAATTCCCCCTCCCCTCCCCCCGGGGCTGGTGACCTACGGAAAATCGCATCCGCATTTCTCGCTTGAGCACAATCATTATCATGAAATGGTAAGCGAAAGATGAGGGTTCGAGCCCGGACTGAGACGTAGTGTTTCCCTCAAGACTCAGCACTTTTGTGACGGGACGCAAAATGCGACCTACAAAGGCAACTGCATATTCGGGAAAACGATTGACCAAACAATAAATTAAAAAAAAAAGATATATTTTGAGAAATTAAGCTGGACACTTTGCCAAGCAAACTTATTTATGTGATCTTAGGGTAGACCCGAAACCTTCTCAGCAAATCCTAAACGGAGTTAACCAATAGATGCTGGAGAAATTATGAGAACTTACTGATTGATGGTGAAGTTTCGACACCATTGCCCAAGGTTTTTCTCTTTCCATGTGGTCGGCTTAGGTAAGCTGAGCCTTGTCTCGTTGTGCACGAAATCTGGCCAAATCACCATCGCCATCACCATCGTGGGCGCACAAATGGACAGCAGCAAAAACCGCGCCATTCCTAGAGATAAATTACTCGGTTTATCAGTGACGAGCAAATCACAAGGTTCACGAATAGCGCGAGAAAAGGTGTAATAGCAAAAATCACACATCCAATCACAGAACTTTAAACTTCAAACTTGACGACATTAATCACAAATTCAATCAAATATTGTTTTATTGTCACTACAAAAGGTTCAAAAACCTGCTGGATTTGGCTCTTTCATTACGAAAATTTTCATTCTGCATTTAACCCATTCGCGACCGCGCAGGATTGCGCAATAGCAGCAGAGTCAGGAGATTTTTCTTCAATAAAATTTGAGTGGATGGAGATTTCCTCTGCCCAGGGCTGGCGTAGATGAATGAGGGTATGAAGATTCTTTTCATGGAAGAAAACTTTCCAAATTCCATTTGAAACCCGGCAGCCCACGGTGGATGCCATTGCCCGAGTGAGATCTTTGTCAGCCACCGGTGGCTGCCATTGTCACGAATGGGTTAAATGCAAATAGAAATTTTTTAGAAAGGCAAAGGCTTCAAACCCTACGAAGAGGAAATAGAAATCCTATAAACCATATTGTATGGCATAAAATAAATATTTATGTGGAAAGGTTCCTCAGCAACTCAAAAAGGGTCTCAGTAACCACTTTAAATCGGTCTACCTCTTTGATGAAAATATAATCAAAAGCTAACGACGACAAGTGAGAAGCAGCGTAATCTCGTACACAAACCAGTTCTGATACTTTCAGTCGTAGACGATGGCATTGTCTTCTTTTTGTACTGACATCAAAGTTATCCAAGTTGTTTTCGCTAACGCTGGTCGCAGTCCAGTTCTTATAAGTTCCGTCAATTTTTTTTCCAATTGTTCGCTTTCCCGAACAAAGCAGAAAAAAGAAGATTTCAAGCAGAACAGTATAATTTAAGCCCTGGGACAAAACTGGTGGCTAGAGCGCTTCGCAGTGATGACTGAGCTGCGGAACGACCTGAAAGTGGAAAGGAAAGCAAGAGAAATCTTTGGAACGCTGAAATTAAGGCCTTAACCTTCAAGTAAGGTCGGATGTGGTACGATGGCGAGACAGGGCGATCAAAGAAGACAAAACACGCGAGAGAGCACGCCGTTCGAGAGAGCACGCTGATCTCTACATCAATCGGGTGGGTGGGAAGCGTTGCAACGGGGTCGATGGTTGCAGGTCCGTAAGGATTAAAACGCCCTAACCGCACAATTTGTGTGACGAAAACTGGAGTGATCTAGGTAGGTACGACCTCACAACCCTTGCGGTATCCCTTCCACACGTCGCTATTCCGGGGTAGCCTTTGAAAGGTATGCTCACACAATAATCACGGTGGATAATTTCTTCTTTTTACGTGGAGGAAAGTCTAACCACTAAGATTTGAAGGACTTACCCATTTTTGACGGTTCGAGAGTGTCTTTGCAGGCGTGTAAGCTTTCAATGATCACAGATGGCCGCAGGCCCCCTTGTTATTCTTGAACAACGCGTTTCATGGTTCGTGTTATCCGTCCAGTGGTGACTTCTCGCCTATTCCATCAACTCGATTACGCTGCGTACTTTTCAGCTAGACAATCCAAAAAGAGTTCTCTGAATGTTAGTTGAGTTTATTTTTTACTTACTTTCCCTTTCTTATTCAACTAGCGGATCTGTTTTCGCCACGTTCAACGTTTGTGTTCATTTACGGCAGAAAGTCCTAGAAATTTATGCCAGGAGTGGGACTTTACGTCAATTCAAATATGAGGCATTCAGCAGCATACTCCAAGGTTGGCCTAAGAAGTTGATCCTTGTTACAGAAATGACCACGCTGGAGATGGACGTCTCAGCGACGCACATCGTTGCTAACCTGGAGAGGACTCATTGAAAAGGCCCAACCAGGCAAAAGGTATAACTGGTCGTCGCAGGGCCACACGGAAACCAGTACCGTTGCATTTCGCGCATCCTTATGCATGAGGAAGAAGAATAAACATACACAGAGAACTATTCAAACAGATTCGAATGATTCTCTATGAAAATGAGAAAGCTGGCCATTCACAACTGGAAGGTAATCGCTATAGGTTCTTCACTGCACAATTGGGTGAGTGAAGAAAAAGGCGTTACCTGCTTAACCAAGGGTAAACTTATTATGAATTCGGCACCTTGCGCGTGCTTGGTGAAAACCTGCTTTCATAGGGCAATGCCCGGTCGTGAAACATACACCATAACGTACTCCATCAACTCTCTCGTTCAGGTTTTTTTTCTGCAAAGGGCAATAAAAGCAACGGAGAGAAGGCGTTAGGTGAAAAAGGAAGACAATTTCCACTGCATTTCTTCGAATATCGAGTTTAGGAGTAGGGAGAGTCAGTTTTGCCCGCGCAACTCAAGCTGAGAGAATAGCTCAACCTTTGGAATGTTTTCCCAAGCAACTGTCAAGCAATAGCGAGTGGAAGGAGCTGGACACTTTGAGCATGCTCTTTCCTTCGCTTAAGAGTGCTTTTTCCCTCGGACAAAGAGCAGTGGTCTCATATTGGTCTAGGAAGTGCACAGTATAAGATTCAATTCATAGATTCGTGGTCCTAGACCGGCTCAGCAAATGCTTACGAAATCAGGTCAATTTTCTCAAATGATGACAATTAGAAATAGTTACGCCATGATTCCTCTCACAGTATAACTAGATGAGTTCGCTTTCACTTACCGGAGCGCAAGTTTTTGGTTCACTCCGCCATTTTTGCTCGACAATCAGTTTCGAAAGATTCTAAGAAACTACTATAATAGGAACAGTAACGCCAAATAATTAACTACGAATACCAAATATCCATGGCTTTGAGCCCCGAGATTGGAACGAATAACTAAGCAAGTAGTACATATGTTACAGTGCTACTCACGTTGCCAGGTGGGTTTGTCTTTGGATGGTCCTATCTGGATTTTTTGAAACTTTTCAGTATTCTATGGATTGAATATCTACAAATTTGAGAACTCTCAGTATGAGCTAATTACGCTTACCTACTAAGATGCTAATTCATTCGCACAATTTTAGGTTTTGGCAAGACCCAAACCTAGATAAAGAT